TGTGGGGCCAAGCGAGTATTTCATTCATAGCGCATCTTCAGACCCACCATTTGATATATGTGTGCTGCGCGTATTCAGAGGATGCAGAAGGGTCAGGAACAGCGTGGAAATGAGGCTTTATTTTGGTTGATGTTAGTTAAATCCACCCAAGGCAAAGCAGCAGACATTAAATAGAGCTGACAGAGTTACTCAGGGATGGGACCAGGCTTGAAGAACTATGAATAATTGGGCTGGGTACAAAAGCTTAAGGTCGGAGGGGGGATATGCAACCAGGTCAGTGGAGAAGGGCATGAGAGAGATAAAGTGGCAGGTTATAGATGAGTTTATAGATAAGGACACTTGGGAGGGTGGTTGTCGCACTTGTGGACTAATGCTAAGGGTTTAGGCCGGTACGTGTAAGTGCTAGGACCTAATAACATGACAGTCAGGGTGAATGCGCAGATTAGAAGGGCTTAGGGCCTATTAAGAAGTGTCTAGTGTAAGCTGAGGCGCGAAGAGACGCTCAGCTCCCCCAATAGAAAGATAAGAATCGATGGCCTTTCGAAAGCCAACGTGAGATGAGATAGTACGGATATGGGAGGGGAGCTTGTTCCATAATTTAAAAGAAAGCCAAAGGAAAAGGTTTTGTCTAAAGACAGTTCGACATGTCGACAGTGAGAGTAAACATCCTGAGTTTCGGATATTATAGAGAGTGCGGGAGGAAAACTCAGGGCAGCAGTCAGCTATGTAAGCCAGCCGGTAGATTAAGCGGTGCAGAAGGCCTAGCTTCAACCCGATGCGCCTTAGCCATGATGGATTCAGCCCAAGTGATAAGCAGCAAAGACTATACGGTAGTGTGGATGACCCCGGAAACAGGGGCTTAGTAAACGAGCGCTGCACATTCTCCACAGCAGTCCGGCATGTCTGTGAATACTGTGAGGCGAATTCAGGGCTGGATTCAAGAATTGGTCTTACAATTTTTTTAAAAATGGCAATTAAACAGGATTTATTATGGAAGGATCGGCGATTGTAAGCGCAGAGCTTGCGAGCTTTAGCCACCCTGTACCTTACATGTTGATTGAAGCTAAATGTACAGGAATACCTGAGGCCTAGGTCTCTCACTTCGGGAAGAGTAGAAATGGAGAGACCGTTAAGAGTAAGTGTCCCAAGGGGAATTTGGAATTGATATGACAGGGCTTGGCATTTTGGAACAGCGAAAGAAAGACAGGAGTTGGAAGACCAGAGTGATAAGGAGTTTAAGTCAGACTGAATGTTAGCAAGGGTAGAAGCAGAATCACTGGTCTTAAACGTGTAAGCTATCTTGATGTCATCGGCAAACAGAAAAGGGGATCCATGGGTGATCGAATCGGTGACGTTAGCAACGTACAGTAAGAACGGTAGAGGGTCAAGCACACTACCCTGAAAAACTCCACTGGTATTGGAGAGGGTTGAGGAGCAGAGATCCCCGATTTTGGTGGCC